TACATATCGAGATCTAGGTTTTGATAGCACAGATGTTCTAAGTTATCCGCCATCTCGTTCATACCGACAAGCCGTGCCATAGGAACAAAAATATCAAAAGTTTCTTGTGCGATACGTGCACGTTTATCTGGCCGTAAAGCACCTAGAGTCGTCATATTATGATAACGATCGGCAAGTTTGATAATAATGACACGCGGGTCTTGTAAGGTGGCTTGAAGAATTTTACGGAAAGACGCAGCTTTATTATATTCTTTATCGCTGGAATGACTGAGTTTGGTGACCCCATCGACCAATTCAGCCACGGTTTTACCAAATTTTTCAGTGATATCTTCTTTGGTGAAATCTGTATCTTCAATCACATCGTGTAATAAAGCTGCCATGAGCGTTTCGGCATCCATACGCATATGTGCCAAGATACAACTCACCGCAATCGGGTGTAAAATATAGGGTTCACCACTTTTACGTGTAATACCATCATGCGCAATATCAGCATAATCACAAGCCACAAGTACTCGCTCGACATCACTTGGTTTTAAGTACGCGTCGATAATTACATTCAACTGTTGCTTGGATTGGCTGACCTGTTGGCCTGGCATAGAACACCTATCTTAAATTACGAATTTGAAATATTTTTCCTAATGCTTTAATGAAAAGCATATTGAGCCGCTTGTCAATTTCTAGACATCAAATATATCTATTTTTTTTAACAAATATTTTGAATTTTGTCGATTGATTGGCAAAACTTTTTGCAAAATAATTGAAATAAAAAAGCCTAGTTGAAAAACTAGGCTTTTTACAAAGGCTTAGCTTATTGGAAAGAAAAACCTTCAAGATTAAGATTGTTTGCTGATAAAGCAAGGTCAAGACTAGACGTTTGGTAATCTTGATCACGTTGCTTCAAGATATCTTTAGTCACATGACCAATCGCAATTTCACGTAATGCAACAACAGTCGGCTTGTCATTGTCCCACTCAACAGTTGGTTCAATGCCTTGACGTGCCAATTGACGCGCGCGTTTGCTTGCCACTAGTACAAGCTCAAAGCGGTTGTCTACATGGTCTAAACAATCTTCAACGGTTACGCGTGCCATAAGAATTCTCGTTTGAATACAAATTTTTTAAATAGACTGTGCAGTATAAAATGCTTTCATCATAGACTCAAGTTTTAATCGAAGCTTATTTAGAAAGCATTTAGATCATAAGTATTTAGATCTAAGTTTGTGGTGTAATCAGTTTGGTAATTAAAGCCTGATGACGATTTGCTTGTTGATCTATTTTTAAGCGATTGGCATTAATAACAGATTCCAAATCATGTAACGCTTTATTGAAATCATCATTGATGATGATGTATTCAAAGTTGACATATTGTTGCATGTCTTCCACTGCACAACTTAAACGATGTTCAATAACTTCAACAGAGTCCGTGCCACGATTTGAAAGACGTTGACGTAAATCAAACTGAGTTGGAGGAAGAATGAAAATTTGTTTAGATTCAGGAAAAAGTTTACGAACTTGTTCAGCACCTTGCCAATCGATCTCAAGTAGCACATCATGGCCTTTCGCCAATTGGTCTTTTACAGTTGCTTGTGCAGTACCATAATAATTACCAAAAACTTCTGCATACTCGATAAAACCACCTTGATTGACTTGATCAAGAAAGTTTTCTTTAGAGGTAAAGTGATAATGAACACCGTCGAGTTCGCCAGGTCGCTGACCACGAGTCGTATGTGAAACAGAAACGTGTAAATTGCTCACACGCTCAAGTAGCGCTTTAACGAGAGATGTTTTGCCTGTTCCTGATGCCGCAGAAACGACAAACAATAGACCCGACATGATATTTTTCCTGATATGATAAAATATCTTCTCTATTTTAGAGTAGAGCGAAGACAAACAAAACTGTTTTTACACATTGTTTGTGTTTAATCGATAAAATATATCCAACCATTGAAGTGAGCATTGAGGGTTTTATGGAAATTGTATTGGCTAATCCGCGTGGATTTTGTGCAGGTGTAGATCGTGCAATTGCCATCGTCAATCGTGCGCTTGAATGTTTTAATCCACCTATATATGTACGTCATGAAGTGGTCCATAACAAATTTGTGGTTGATGATTTACGTCAGCGCGGCGCAATTTTTGTGGATGAGTTAGATGAAGTGCCTGATGATAATATTGTTATTTTTAGTGCACATGGTGTATCAAAGGCGGTTCAACAAGAGGCAGAACGTCGTGGTTTAAAAGTGTTTGATGCAACTTGTCCATTGGTCACTAAAGTCCATATTGAGGTCACGAAATATGCACGTGAAGGAACTGAAGCAATTTTGATTGGTCATGAAGGCCACCCTGAAGTTGAAGGGACCATGGGGCAATATGACAAAAAGAATGGCGGTGAAATTTATCTGGTTGAAGATGAAGAAGATGTCGCTTCATTAACAGTACATCATCCTGAAAAAATAGCATTTGTGACCCAAACCACCTTATCTATAGATGATACGGCCAAAGTAATTGATGCTTTGCGAAATAAATTCCCTCAAATTCAAGGGCCCCGTAAAGATGATATTTGCTATGCCACGCAAAACCGCCAAGATGCTGTGCGTGATTTAGCAACACAATGTGATGTGGTGTTGGTGGTTGGTTCTCCAAACTCATCGAATTCAAATCGTTTACGTGAGTTGGCTGAACGTATGGGGAAACATGCGTATTTGATCGATAATGCAGATGAGTTAAAACAGGAATGGTTTAACTCGAACCATAAGATCGGTGTTACAGCTGGGGCATCTGCACCTGAGATTTTAATTAAGCAAGTGATTCAACGGTTACAGGACTGGGGCGCGACAGCACCACAAGAGTTAAATGGTCGTGAGGAAAATATCACATTTAGTCTGCCAAAAGAGCTACGGATTCATGTAACACAAGCTTAAATTTAAACTTTATTTTTTAAGCAGATAGCTGAGATTTCAGTTATCTGCTTTTTTATGCCTTCTATCCAACTTGTATTGGTTTTGTAAGTATTTAAGTTATGATTTTTAATAGGGTAAAGTTTTGTTGCAATGGGGGGGTAATGCAAAAAAATAGAGGATTCACCTTAATTGAGTTGATGGTGACGATTGCTGTTTTGGCGATTGTTGCGTCGATTGCAGCGCCTTCTTTTTCAAAGCTCTTAGCAACCTATCAAGCGAATAAAAGCAAAGAAGAGTTAATGACAGCACTAAAAGAAGGGAAGAGCCGTGCATCATCAATGAAAATGTCTGTGATCGTTTGCCCGAATAAAGATGGCTCGAATCAGGAAATAACAAAGACACTCTGTTTAACCAAAGCAGGAGTTAGTACAGCCAATGTTTCAAATTTCATTGATGCAAAACGTGTCATTTTAGCCAATATTGATAAGGCTGTTAGTGTTGGTGGTGACTTATATGTTGTGTTTAGTGCTATTGGGTCATCACTTGATAATGTGCCAAGTACAAACCTAAAGGCAAGAAAAATAACAATATGCGGTAATAAGGAACTCACCGAAATAACAGTGTCCGTTATCGGAATTGTATCCTCTGAAAAGAATGGAGCATGCTCATGAAGAATAAGAAGAATCAATTGGGTGTGGGGCTCGTTGAAGTTTTAGTTGCCCTGGTTTTGCTTGCGATCGGGGTTTTGGGATTTACTGCTTTACAGTTAAGGGCTGTAGATGCGACTAGTGAAGCGCTTACAAGATCTCAAGCAACACTAATTTTGAGAGGCTTAACAGAAAGTATTCGTGCTAATCCTAATGGTCAATCTAGTTATCCTGCTGCTGTAAAAGGGTATATTGGTGTGGGAGAAAAGTCTCCGAAAAAAAAATGTTTTAATGCCACATGTACACCAGCAGAAATGGCTGATTATGATTCATATTTAGCTGCCGATGCAGCATCAAGAATCGGGATTAGTATTACAATGACAGATTGCCCAGGGGTAGGCAGTACAATTAAAAGGCAATGCTTATTCGCTGCTTGGGATGAAACTGCATCGAAGTTAAAAGCAGGTGATTATAGTGCCTGTATGAGTAGCACAGGAACGTATGTGTTTACTGCAAAATGCCTAATGATGGAGGCATATTAAATGGGATTCATGACGAAGCAAGAAATAATGGGACCTCAGAAGGGTTTCACACTAATTGAGTTGATCGTTGCTCTTGCCATTGGTCTTATTATTAGCGCTGCAGCTTTGCAATTATTCACAGGTGGTCTAATTACGGCAAAAATGCAAGAAGCAAATGCAGAGTTACAAGATAGTGGTGTGTTCGGTGTTGATTATATTGCTAGAGATATTCGTCTAGCGAATTTTGGAAATGTAAATAATCCAGTGTTAGATACAACAACACCCAATGGCGGAATTATTTTTACCAGTGCTGATCCAGCTTTAGGCAAGGCAAATCTACAGCTAAAAGATGTAAGTGCGGGATTGTTAACAAAATCAGGAGGTTCTACTGGGACGAGTTCGAGTAGTGATCAACTAACAATTATGTTTCAAGCACCCAATAAAATGATGAATTGTGAAGGTAGAGAAGTAAAGGCTAGTGAGTATGTTATTCAACGTTATTTTTTAAGGACAGATAATGGTAACTTGGCATTGGCTTGTGATGCAAACACTCCAGGAAGTAGCGTCCCTTCTATTGCTGGATTAAATGATTCAAACAATGGTGAAGTGATTATGCCGAGAGTGGATCTTGTTAGATTTTACATCGGAGCAAAAGCTGGAAACAATTTTAGCTATTACACAATTGAGCAATTTAAGACCGCAGTAAAAGGGGCGTCCTCTCCCAATATACCTAGAGTTGTCTCGATTAGAATGATGGTTTTGGTTCGCTCTAAAGATCCAATAACAAATAAAAATATAGACCCCTCTAAAGAAAGCTTTAATTTCCCTGATGGTGAAGTGACTTTAACGGATAAAAACACCAAATATTTACGACGTTTATATACAACAAATATTGCTTTAAGAAATGGCTTAGGAGAGAAGATTTATGAAACATCGAACTAACCTAAGCAAGCAGAAAGGGTCAACGATTATCGTTGTTATGATGATGTTGTTATTTTTAACAATAGTTGGAGTAATGGCGATTCGGACCTCTATGACAACATTGAATATTGCGACAAATGCGCAAATTAGTCAGCTTTCAAGTCAAACGGCTGATACACCAATTAACCAAGTTTTTTTAGAGGATTTAAATAAGCAAGTGAATCTTTCAAGTGTTATAGGTAAGGCTTTGAAAGATGCAGATACAGAACCTGGTAAAGAATATGTATTTTGCTATAAACCTAGAGTGAGTACTCGTTTTGGTTCAGTTACATCTATGGCTGTACTTAGAAATGTGAGTTCTAATGTGGAGTTGGTTGAGGGAAGTACAGATAATTTTTGTAATTTAACCACTGACTTTGGTAGTGCAAGACGAGGTGTAGTGACTCAGGTTTCTATTAAAATTCCAACAAATACATCCGATTTGCCGCCTTTGGCATTACTTGCAAGAAATATTAATGTAAGTGGTGGACAAACAATTCCACAAGGGGTAACCGAGCAAAAACGTATTCGGATGACGACAGTAGCAGTAATGCCCATTTATGCTAAAAATTTGTCCGCTGCTCAAGCATGTTTAAGAGAAAATGTGAATGATAATTCAGATGCGGAATCTAGTGCTCTGCAAACAACAGCTCAATGTCTCGTAAATCTTGGTATTCCAGTTAACAGTCAAGTCCAAGAGTTTAATTTACAAACATTTATAAAAATGGTTAAGGCGCCAGTATAAATTTAGGGGAATGTAAAATGAAATCTAAAAAGCTTACGGCCTCATTGAATTATGTAGCCAAGCAAAAAAAATTAAATTTAGGCATGGTTGGATTTACAACATTTGTCGGTACATTTCTGATTGTATCTTCTGTCACTCAAGCAAATGATTTACAGATTTATGCTGCACCTACAGCAGGGAAAAAGACGCTGGTGATGATGTTGGATACTTCAGGATCAATGGCTTACTTTGATGATAGTAGGTGTTATAGGAATGGAACGGAGTATAAGACATCAACAGTACCTTATGAGCGTAGATATTGTACTGATCGATATGGTGCTAAAGTTGGCTATGATCGATTAACACGTTTAAAAGATGGAATGTTTACTTTCTTAAATAGTGAAGATGCTTCATTAAGACAAGTTCGTGTTGGTTTAGGGAATTATTCTACCAATGGAGATGGTCGTAGTGGTCAAATCTTAGTTCCAGCAAAAGAGCTGGGGGCAGTGAATTCTACGCAGAGAATAGCATTAAAAAATGCACTTAAAGATTTAACAGCTTACAATGGTACACCTACAGCCCATGCCTATGCAGAAGCAGCAGCATATTTAATGGGTACGAAAACTTTACAATCCATCTATTTAAATAATGCCCCAATGTTTTTTTCATATTCAACTGGTGGTTGGTGGCCAACAATTTATAATTATCAGTGTAATCAGTGGAATACTTTAGGAACAAATTGCACCTCTTGGAGCACAGTAAGTTCTGTCAATCCAAGTGGTTTAGCAACTCAACAATGTACTGTAAATGGTAATAATGGTACTTGTTATAATAAAACAGGAACTGTTTTATTCTCCAATAGCGATAGTGGATTTACAAAATCTGCTGATGATACAAAAGTCGCTGATAATTCAACCTATAACTCTCCACTTCCTGCTGTTGCTGATCGCCAAAGCTGTGATGGGCAAGGGGTGTATATTCTTTCCGATGGTGCTGCTAATACAACGGATGACACTAGATCAAGTCGCTTAATGGTAGCTGCGCTAGATACATTTGGTGATAATTTTAGTTGTGCTGGCGGACTCGCAGAAGCCTATGACGGAAATAGTCCAGGTGGTTGGCGTTGTATGGGAGAATTTGCTAAAAAACTATTTGATAAAACCAAAAATCCAACAGGTGTCTCTATCCAAACTGCTTTTGTAGGTTTTGGTAGTGAAATGAATGATTTGAGGAATGGCTATGTAGAAAATGCCTGTAGGCTTAGTTCCCGAACACAAGATGATCGTACTTCAGATGACCAATGTTCTCCTACAGCACCAAGTTATAAAACAAGTAAACCAGGGTATGGTAATGGCGGATTTTTCATTGCAAAAGAATCTGATGAAATTACCAATAGCGTTATTCAATTTATTGATAATTTAGGGAAAAATCCAATAAGCCCATTATCAACGGGGGCGATTTCTGTTCCTGTAGATGCTTTAAGTCCACAATCCTTCCAACCTTATGGATATTTGAGAGCCTTGGAGCCAAAACCAGGGACTCAGAATATCACTTGGACGGGGAACTTGAAAAAATACAGTATTCAAGGTGGCGCTTTAAAATCAGGAAGCAACTTTGTTTTCCAAACCAATGGATTACTCAATCCTAGTTCTCAAGATATTTGGAACAGTACCTCTTTAACTGATGGTGATGGTGTTACAGCGGGTGGCGTCTATTCAAAAATTAAATTACCGACAGTAGTAAGTCCTAATGGCTATAGACCACTTTTTTCAGATATTAAAAGTGTTGCATCAGGTGGAGCAATTACTTCCACAGATAAAAATTCAGATTTATTTTTAGTCACACAATCCGCCACCACTGCAACAAATTTATTGGATAAGTTTAAAACAGATAGTCGGTTGAAAAATTTAGCATTAGATATTCAATTAAAGTTATTAAATTACTTAGGTTATAACTTAAGTCTAAGTTCTACACAGCTTCCAAATAGCCTAGATACCCCTAAAGATGCTTTCACATCTATGGGGGCAAGTATTCATTCTTTTCCAGTACAAATGACTTATAAGGGAACATTAGATGCAGATGGCAATTTAAAGTCTACCCGTGATCAGTCGGTGCTTTATGGCAGTATGGAAGGTGCTTTGCGTATCGTCAATTCATTGACTGGTGAAGAGCAGATGGTATTTGTTCCTACTGAAATTTTGCAGGACAGTACTTTATCAAAAGCGCTAAGGAAAGGTGAGTCAGATGTTAATGGTGTTACACAAGGGATCAATGGCGCTTGGGTTGCAGATTCAGATTATAAGGTGACTGGCGGAAATGATACAGAAACCTCAGTCGTTGCAAATAAAATGAATGTATATGGTGGTATGCGTATGGGGGGGAAAAGCTATTATGGCTTAGATGTCCTTAATCCAAGCGCACCTAAATTACTTTTCCGTATTCTTGGTGGGACAGGCGACTACACTCGTATGGGGCAAACTTGGTCTAAACCTGTACTAGCCAATATTCGATATAACAACCAAATTACTCGAGTGATGATTGTGGGTGGTGGCTATGATATGTGCTATGAGAATCCAAGATTTAAACTGAATTCATCAAATTCCAATACAGATTATCCATCTACCTCATGTAATAATAAAGCACAGGCAGATGGTAATGCTGTTTATATCATCAATGCTAAAACGGGTGAGAGAATTTGGTGGGCGAGTAATACTAATGCGAATACCAACAATGCAAATATGACCCATAGTGTGGTGAGTAGAATCAGTACTCTGGATCGTGATGGAGATGGCCTAGTTGATAACCTCTATTTCGGTGATTTAGGAGGGCAAGTATTTCGTGTTGATTTAAATAATGCCAAAAATACTCCAGTAGCATCCTTTGGGAAAAGAGTTGTTCGTTTAGGAAATCTTGCAACAAAAGCGGATGGAACAAGTATTACAAATGGAGATCAACCTCGTTTCTATCAACCACCAACGTTAACTGTACATGATGAAGCGGCCTCAACTTTTGTTATGGTTGGTATTGCATCTGGTGATCGTAGTACACCCTTGGATGTTTCACCGAATAAAGGTCGTGAACTCATGTTACCTCTGAATGAGTTAACTGGACGTCCATCAAATAAAGTTTATGGACTCATTGATCGCGATATTGCTGATAGTGGGTTGATTACAGGTATCAAAGATCCTCAGACAGGTGTTTATAAAGACATTGATCTAAAATCTATTGATATTACTTTAAAATATTTAAAAGAAAATCCACAAAACATAACAGGTATCATTTCTTCTACTTTTTTCCCATACACTAAAACAGGGATGCAAGGATGGTATCGTTCACTCTCTAGTGATCAGAATGGAAATCCGGTATCTGGTCGAACAGCTGGTGGGGTAAAAGCATTTGAAGAAGAACCTGTTGCAATGACAGGTAGGCTTATTGTTCCAGTTTATGACCCAGAGGGGACAGGTATTGTTGATAAACAAAACCCTTGTCAGCCTCGAATTATTGGTGAAAGTAATACTCAGCAGTTCTGTTTGCCGTATGGGGCTTGTTTAGATTCAAAAGGAGTCGTCGATTGGAACCTTGAAAAAAGTACTGGTTTTCAAATTGTAGATGGCAAGAACCAAAACATCTTAGGGCCTGGTATTCAAGGTATTACTTTTGGTCCAGATGATACTGGTGGTGGAAATAATACTGGTAATAATTGTGGTGCCTTAACTTTGCTGGGTTTACAACAAGGAAAAGGAAGATGGGAGTGTAATAAGATTTTAAACCCAATCCGATGGTATGAAAAATATGTTGAAGCTAAGAAGAATTAATCGATATGGAACTGTGACAAGCCAAGCTTGTCACAGGAATACTTATGGTTTTACATTAATAGAACTAATGGTTGTCATTGTTATCATTACAATTTTAGCAGCTATTATTTATCCAAACTATCAAGATCATGTTCGGCGGGCGGCAGCGGCGCAAGCTCAACAGGAAATGCAGAAAATTGCAAATCAGTTAGAGATATTTAAATCTAAGAATCTCACTTATCAAAATTTTGATTTAAAAAATTTATATAGTTCAAACTCGTCGGAAGTGATTTCAGTTCCTGTTGGATCAACTGGAGATAATATTAAATACAAAATTACACTTAACGATTTATCTAGTCAGAACTTATCGCTGATGAATTCAAGTGTATCTGGATTTGGTTGGGCAATAAAAGCAGAAAGTACAGACGTTAAAAACTATAATTTACTTATGACGAGTGAAGGGCTTCGTTGTAAAACCAAAGATAGTGTCACTTTTATAACTTGTACAGGTAGTGATGTTACATCATGGTGAAAGTATGAAGCAGAAAGGATTTACATTAGTTGAGATATTAATTGTTGTGGCAATTATAGGAATTTTAGCTGCAATAGCTTATCCGTCATATCAAGAATATATTGTTCGAACAAACCGAGTTGATGCACAAAGTGAAATGCTTCAAATTGCCCGAAATTTATCCAATTATAAAATGGCGAAAGGGACATTTAAAGATGCCAAATTGGAAAATGGAGCATTTGAAGAAGATTATCCAAGTGTTGGAGAAGCAAAATATAAAGTTAAATTAGAAGTTTCTAAAGATAATTTAACTTGGTCTTTAAATGCTGCTCCAATAGCGGGTTCTCAGCAAGCCGGAAATGGTGATGTCGGATTAGATAGCCAAGGCCAAAAATGTTGGAGCAAAGGCACCACTTGCACTCCATCAGCAACCACAAACTGGGACGGCAAATAAAAATTAAATTCAAAATTGTGGATAAATAAAATTTGATCTTTCTTTCATGACAAAGATAACGTAAAATATTGCCCTCTATGAAAGGGGTTTGAAATGTATCGATGGTCGGTACAAGGATAATCCGTAAAAACTATAAGGTTCTATCATGGTTGTAATTCGTCTAGCACGCGGTGGTGCTAAAAAACGTCCGTTCTATCAAGTAATCGTAACTGATAGCCGCAATGCGCGTGACGGTCGTTTCATCGAACGTATTGGTTTCTTTAACCCTACAGCTCAAGGTAAAGCAGAAAAACTTCGTTTAGATGCTGACCGTTTTGCTCACTGGGTTGCTCAAGGCGCTCAACCGTCTGAACGTGTTGCTTCTTTAGCTGCTCAAACTAAGAAAGCTGCAGCTACTGCATAATTAAACCTTTAATTAGGCAGTAAGCCCATGACACCAGCACAGAATGTGCCCGAAGATCGTATTCAGATTGGACAGCTACGTTCAGCATATGGATTAAATGGGTGGCTCTGGGTCTATTCCAATACAGAACCTATGAGCAACATATTTGACTACCTCCCTTGGTACATTGAGACCAAAGCAGGTTGGCAAATTGTAGACGTAAAACGTTGGAAACCGCATGGCAAAGGCTTGGTTGTTTCGTTGAAAAGTGTGAGTGATCGCACTGCAGCAGACAGTCTAGTTGGTGCTAATGTTTGGATTTCAAAATCGCAACTGCCTCAAGCAGGCGTGGACGAGTATTACTGGTCTGATTTAAAAGGTCTAATTGTATTAGGTCTGAATGATGAAGAGCAGGAAGTAAATCTTGGTCAAATCCACGAATTGTTTGAAACAGGCGCCAATGATGTCATGGTTGTTCGTGCAACAGCAGATAGCATCGATGGCGAAGAGCGAATGATTCCATGGCATAAAGATGTGGTACAACGCGTTGATCTCGAAGCTGGTCGTATCTATGTCAATTGGGGCGTAGATTTCTAATCCGATAAGGATTGGCGCAGCAGGAAAATAGAGGAGTCTGCGATGTTTTTTGCAGTCATTACGCTTTTTCCTGAAATGTTTGAAGCGATTACAGCGTACGGAATTAGCGGGCGAGCGGCAAAGCGTGACATTGTACAAGTTCATTGTATCAATCCGCGAGAATTTGCTGAGGGTAACTACAAACGAGTGGATGAACGTCCATTTGGTGGTGGCCCTGGTATGGTGATGATGGCTGAGCCTTTGGCAAAAGCAATCCACCATGCCAAAGAGCTTGCAAAGCAAGCAGGTGCAGTTCAGGTTCCTGTGGTGTATATGTCACCACAAGGGCAGACCTTAAATGAACCTGCAGTACAACAATTCGTTGAATATGACGGATTAATTGTACTGTGTGGGCGTTATGAGGGGGTTGATGAGCGTTTGATCCAAAAATATGTTGATCAGGAATGGTCGATTGGAGATTACGTGTTATCAGGCGGTGAACTCCCTGCGATGGTTTTATTGGACAGTATTATTCGACGTTTGCCGAATACCATGTCAGATGAACAATCGGCAGTGCAGGACTCATTTGTGGATGGTCTTTTAGATTGCCCACAATATACCAAGCCAGATCATTTTGAAGGTTTGGATGTTCCTGAAGTACTTAAGTCAGGGCACCATGCCAATATTGAAAAATGGCGGTTTTTGCAACGCTATCAACGCACTTTAGAACGCCGACCTGAGTTGGTGGAACACGTTGAGTTGACCAAGCAGCAAAAAAAATGGCTAAAAGATGAGCGAGGGTAGGCAAGCATTGATTATGTTTGTTTCAACGCACGTCAGAAGCTGTACTTCTTATCAGGGATACAACAATTCATCATTGTTGTCCTGCGGAATGTAAGTTCCATAAGAAGTCGGCTTCGAGAACATACTTATTTTTAAGTACTTATATTAGGCTCTTTATTGATCTGAATAACATCAGCAATAAAGGGAAAGATAAACGGGTTGATACGCGATTTAGCCTCTATCCCCAGCGGTTGTGCAGACCTCTTCTGTCCCGCAAAACGGAGATTCCCACAATGAGTGGTAAACATCCTTTAGTTCAAGCAATTGAAAACCAACAGTTAAAAACTGACATCCCAGCTTTTGCTCCTGGTGATACAGTTATCGTTCAAGTAAAAGTAAAAGAAGGTGAGCGTGAGCGTCTTCAGGCTTTTGAAGGCGTAGTCATTGCGAAGAAAAACCGTGGCTTGAACTCTGCGTTCACAGTACGTAAAATTTCTAGCGGTGTTGGTGTTGAGCGTGTATTCCAAACTCACTCTCCAATCGTTGCTAAAATCGAAGTGAAACGTCGTGGTGACGTTCGTCGTGCTAAGCTTTATTACCTACGTGAATTGTCTGGTAAAGCTGCTCGTATTCGTGAAAAATTACCAGCGCGTAAACAAGGTTAATTTTAACTTTGCTTTACAGCTAAAAAATGCGCCATTTGGCGCATTTTTTGTTTCTTGCTACAGTTAAAGGCTAAAGTCCTTGTAATTTTAGGCGATTGGTATGTTCACGATAGACTTGTACTGGATCTGGTGAAAAAATTGCACGCAATCCTAAAATTTGATTGACCTCATCTAAGTGATTCCAACGGTAATCATCACGAATCGTTTTACCGAATTTGGCACTACATCGTGGAACTAAACCATCATTATCACGACCAGCATTAATTAATAAACTTGTGCCAAGTAGGGCAGAATCCAAGTCTAAAAGATTTGTAACGGCGGTATTGCCCGTAAATGAATAGAATTGAATCCCTTTTTCTTGATAAGCCCCTTCACCACAAACTGTGGTGCCAACGCCCATTGGGAATTTACTGTTAAATAGTGCAGAACCTTCAATGGTGAGGCTTTTCCCACCTGCCAACGCATCATGGGGAAGTTCTTTCGGGTTAAGGCCTTGCGCCCAGACAATTGCTTTTGAAAATAAATTGACCACACTCACCAATGGGCCTTGAAGCGGCGTGCCTTCTATACTTAAGATAATGTTTGCAACAGGGCTGCCTTTTTGTGGTGAACCAACAGCGGTTACAGATGCAACTTGGGTAGGCATAATGCCTGCGACATAGCGGCTGGTAGGACCACCATGCGAATGGCCGATCAGATTGACTTTTTGACTGCCGGTAATTGCCAGAATCTCTTCGACTTGCTGAGCCAATTGCTCACCACGGACTTCAGTAGAATTAAAGGGTGATACTCGCGTAGCCCATGTATTGGCGCCGTTGCGAGCCAAATCTGGTAAAATTTGATACCAGTAGTCTAATCCTAAAACATCGCCAGCACGAATAAACCCAGCCATACCGTGCACAAATACCACAGGATATTTGGTTTTTGCATAGTCCGAGTTTACTTTACTGACAGTCACTTTTTGCGCATTATTAGATGCATATGCGGTTGATAATGTACTCGCCAGCAGTAGACTCGCGATAATACGTCCATATTTCATGTTAAAACTCCATCTATTTTATTATTGGGCGATTTACATACCTCAATTTTAAATGTATTGAGTGTAAAGCCTCGATTCTGATCATGTTTGCAGGAACACAAACTTTTAACTTCTTTGTTTTTTTAAATCTTATATCAAATCAGATTCTGGAATTCGAAATTAAATACAATGTTTAGTACAAAATTTGAATCCAGAATCATTTACTATTCAACTATAAAATATACTGAATGAACAGTACATTTTATCGCCTCTCATCGGCAATATTTACAAGCCTTGTAATTTCAGACGATTGGCATGCTGACGATATTGAGCAAGTGGGTTTGGTGCAAAAAATATTCCACGTAGCCCTAAAACATGATTGATTTCATCCAAGTGCGTTTGACGATAATTGTCTCGAACCACTTGCCCATAATGGGTATTGCAACGATTCATCAAGCCATCATTATCTAAATTTTTATAAGATAAAGGTGCGAGTGTGGAAATGACGCCATCCATAACATCAAAAATGTTGGTGAATTGGGCTGTACCCGTCCAAGAATAATGATAAACACCATTGGCTGTTACTTTTTGACCATTGCCACAGTCTTTGGGAATCGCAGCACTTGGATATTTTGCATTAAATTCAGCAGCCCCTTTTTCACTCACACTTTGTAAAGAGTTATTTAGGCTAAGGGGGAGGGATGGATTACCTTCGAGAAGCGTAATCACTGGTGCTAAGATATGTTGACTAAAGATAGTCAGCAGCGTATTTGCACCTCGATTACTTAAAATATCATCCGCGATCTTAGAACCTTTAATTGCCCCTGCAACAGCAGTTAAAGAAGCAACTTTTGTGGGTGCAACGATTTCAATATAGCGAATCGTTGGGCCACCATGACTATGCCCAATCAGATTGACTTTGGGTGAGCCAGTCAGTGCGATGACTTCATCGACTTGCTGTAAGAGTTGTTCACCTCGAACCTGTGTCGACTCCAATGGGGAGACTTGTGTCGCATAAACTTTTGCGCCATTGCGAGATAAATCAGGGAGGATCTGGTAGAAATAATCTATGCCAAAGGAGGAAGTCCCCAGACGTGTGAAACCGAACATCCCATGATTAAATACAATTGGATATTTGGTTTTTGCATAGTTTGAACTGACATAACGTGGATTTACAGTTTGTAAGCCAGATGCAGATGCAGCCATCGAACTTAATCCAATGATTAAACTCAGGGCGAAAATATTGATTTTAAATTTCATATTAAAATACTCTTGTTGTTTTTAAGTGAATTGTTGATTGACATGACGTCTGTGTTGCAAGCTAAAAGTTGCTTACAACCCTTATGATCTCAAGCGATTGGCATACCATCATTATCGTTATTGCTCTAAACCAAAGGTGCAAGTTGCATTAAAATCGTGTCAATCCCGAGCAAGTTTTTAGTTTGTGTGCGTCCTCCTTATAGGGTGTTGTAAATATTATTTTCCACTTTGTATCCGCAGACTTGTAGGTATCCCTGAGTTATAAATGTACAGAGATCCTTGAGTCTGGCTTGCAAACTCAAGCCATAAAACGTGCTATAAATGCATAATCTAAATATTTTTGTTTTCGCTTTTTTCATCATTTTAGCGATGGGCTATGTATTTCATGGCTAATTTGCAAAGGGTAATTTTCCTCCTTGATCATGCACAGTTTCAAAAGTTTGTAATCTGAGTTGCTCTTGTTGATTTGCAAATTGTTGTGATTTCAATTGTTCTACAGCACGCTGTTTGGCTGAATCACTCAGATTACTTTTGAGGATAGTGTCACGTTCAGCAAGGTATTGATTAACTTTGCCTTTCCAATCATTTCTTTGTACATCAAGCGTTTCTAAGCGTTGTGTCGCTTCTGGTCCCACTAAATTGGTGCGCATTTGACGGATCTCTTGTGCAGAACCACCACGCGCCTTGATCTCTGCTGTCAGCTTTCTTAAGTCTTCAAGTTGATTAAGTTGTTGTAAATTCTCTTTCCAGTCTTCGGGGAGTTGCTCGAAAAGCTCTTTGAGTTTTTGTGCTTTTTCAGCCGCAGATAATTTTTGATTATCCATAATTTCTAAGCGGTCTACCGTATATCGGTCATAGGTATCTTGTGTGCCAAATAAGCCTTGAATTTCATAATCCGAGAAGAATTTTTTTCTTAAATTTTGAGTATTGACTAAAATCTGCTGATAATACTTTGCGCTTTCTTTATCTGCGGTAGGTGCTTGTAAATCACCTAATTTGCTTCTGTAATCGATATAGCGTGCCCAGAGATCATTTAACTGTGATAGCACAGGCTCTTTATAGCTGATTTTGGTATAGCTGAGAAAATCTGCTTTGATTTGCTCAATGCTTTTTTCACCATATTGAGTGATGAAGTATTCAAAACAGTCTTTGGTTTGTTCATTGACAATTAAGCGATTGGAGGCATCAGCACGGATTTGGCAGTTAATTTGCGTGTCTTGTTGGCTTTTGCTGGCAAAGCCCAGTGCTTGAGATGCTGGGAGCTGAGTTGAGGCCAATTGCCCCATCTGTTGTTCGAGTGCTTTTTCAGAAGCTGGTGGTGTTTCAGTCGATTCTGTATTAGGTTTTAGCCAAAAAATCACGGCTATAAGAATGATCAAGAGACTACCAATGATGATCCCAATCATTTTTTTAGATAGATCCATCTAATATTCCTACTATTTTTAGACTTTTTATTGAAAAAATAATTTGCCACAGAATTCGAAATTTCAAACAGAAAATTTGTAAAAATAGACGAATGGTTTTTGCTAAAATAGCGCATTATTCTCCGTATCCAGACCAATATGTCTTCAAAAGCTCAGAAAATACCGCGTCGCCATATCAGTGGTGTTTTTTTATTGAATAAGCCTTTAGGCATAAGTTCAAATGCGGCGCTACAAAAAGTGCGGTGGTTGTATCGCGCTCAAAAAGCAGGGCATACAGGGGCACTTGATCCTTTGGCATCTGGACTTTTACCAATCTGTTTAGGTGAAGCGACTAAATTTTCACACTATCTGTTAGATTCGACCAAGCGTTACCAAACGACTGTTCAACTTGGGCATAGCACGACCACGGGTGATGTTGAAGGCGAGGTTTTACTTGAAAAGGCCGTACCTGAATTAAGTGAAGACAGTATTCAACAGGTTTTGGCGCAATTTACCGGAGATATTCAACAAGTTCCGCCAATGTATTCAGCCTTAAAAAAACAAGGCCGTCCTTTATATGAGTTGGCGCGTCAAGGAATTGAGATTGAACGTGATGCACGGCCAATTCATATTTTTGCCATTGAGCTAATTGCGTTTAATCAGCACAGCCTGACCTTGGATATTACTTGTTCTAAAGGAACGTATATTCGTGTTTTGGGTGAAGACATTGCCAAAGCATTGGGAACTTACGGGCATTTAACGTATTTAAATCGAACTCAAACGGGTCATTTTGATTTGATTCCGGAATATACCATTGAGCATTTGGAAAGCTTGACTGAACAAGCGCGTGAAGCCTTGTTGCTGCCTGTCTATGCACCAATTGATCATTTTCCTAAAGTTCAGGTACCTGAAGGACGTGCGGAATATTTTAGCCGTGGTATGGAAAGTAATATTGAGCATGTTGCCGAAGCTGAAGTCTTGGTTTTTGATGGTGATAAATGTTTAGGCTTGGCTGAAATTACCGATAAAAAGCGTTTAGTGCCTAAACGCGTGCTAAACCTTTAATTTCGTTTCATTGTTAGAAAATAACTCAGTTTAAATCTAAGCCTGATTAAGCTAAAGCAGGATTAAGCCAAAGCAAGGTTAAGTCTCTCAGCGCCTTTTTAATAGACGCATTTAAAAGATAAGTGAATGTTATGGAATTTGATATCATCCTCAGTTTAGTATTCTTTGCCTTTTGTGCAGGGGCCATTGATGCCGCTGTTGGAGGTGGAGGGTTGATTCAAATTCCTGCATTGATGGGTGCTTTACCGCATTATCCTACCGCCACAGTTTTTGGAACCAATAAACTGGCTTCGATTTGTGGAACAGCTTCGGCTGCTTTTTCATATTTAAAACAAGTCAAAATTCAGTGGAAGCTGTTGGCAGTGATTGGAATCACTGCATTTATTAGCTCATTTGGTGGTGCTGCTTGTGTCTCACTGATCCCCCAAGAAATTTTGCGGCCATTTGTATTATTTATGCTGATTGTGATCGCAATCTATACATTTTTTAAGAAGCAATTTGGACAAGTCCATTTTCAACAAGAAATCACGCGTAAAATGTTATTGATCGCGGGTGTGGGTGGTTTATTGATCGGCTTTTATGATGGGATATTTGGGCCAGGTACAGGTAGTTTTTTCATCTTCTATTTTATTCGTTATCTGAAAGTTGACTTCTTACACGCATCGGCGCTTTCCAAAATTGGCAATTTCATGACCAACTTTGCCGCATTGAGTTTCTTTATTCCTACTGGACATGTGTTATTTCAATTGGGCCTGCTGATGGCTGTTGCCAATGTGTGTGGTTCATTGGTTGGTGTGAAAATGGCACTGAAATATGGTAGTGGTTTTATTCGTATTCTATTTTTGATTTTGGTCAGCATTTTGATTTGTCGCTTGGCTTATCAAATGTTTGTCGCGTAATTTGCTAGATTCTCTCGTTAATTTTTTTTGATACAAAAAAGCTTAAATTTTGTAAGGCTTTTTTTTGATTTGTCTTCTAAGATTGTTGGTTTCTTGATCGAAAAATCACAAACCGAAGCAATGGAAGGCAAATATCAAATAGGATCATAAAAAGAGGGATTTAGATGAATATATTTGAGGCTTTGAGAGAAAGTCATATCATTCAGAAGGATTTGTCAGAACAATTAACACATACCTCAGGCGATAGCCCTGAACGAAGGAAAATTTTTAATTTATTGAAAAATGAATTATTTGCCCATGCTGTTGCAGAAGATCGCTATTTTTATATTCCGTTAATGATGACGGATTCAGGTTTAAATATTACCCGTTTGGCACTTGCTGAACATCATGAGATGGATGAAATATTACAATCGCTAGAACAAACAGATTTTAGCCATTCACGTTGGTTGGTTTTGGCGAAACGATTATCTGAAATCATCGCGCATCATATTCATCAAGAAGAGCATTCTTTTTTTCAGAAAGCGCTAAAGATCTTAGATGAAAATCAAAAATTAATCTTAGCGAAGAAGTATTTATCCGAATATAAAAAGTATAAAGCAAAAGACCTTATCCGCTTGGTTGGCTAAGTCTGTTGGCTTGTATTTAGTTGACTTGTCTAAGAAGGCAAACTGAATAAAATTGAAGCTATAAAGTACCCAGAGAATGATGAGCAGATTGCTGAACGATATTTACAATTTTTTTTAAATTAATGAGATGCTTCTCATCCATCATATATTTACGCTGATCTTCTCTTCCTTAAGATCGCGTAAATATGGTCGGGATTCTATATGACTGGCAGTGGGTCAGTATTGAGAATGTTTTAGTGAGCATTTGAGCTTTTCGCCGCTCTAAATGTTACCCCTACCGAGGCAATCATAATGCAGATTAAAGCAACGGTTTGCCAAGCAGTAATATGTTCATTCAGTAAAACCATACCTGAAATTGCGGCAAGTGCAGGGGATAGACTCGATAAAGTACCATAGCTCATTTTGCTTAATTGTTTTAAAGCAAGCAGATCTAAGGCATACGGAATCGCGGTTGCTAAAAGTGCAATCAGCAAAGCTTTGCCCCAGTACTGTGTTTGTAGCAAGGCATCTGGGTTATGTACAGCACTAATTGGCAGCATAACCAAGGCCGACAAGACGATTGCAATACTTAGTGCATGCATACCAATATTTTGTCGTACAACTTTTTGCCCAAAATAAATATAACTTGCCCAACAGACACCCGCACCTAAAGCAAAGGCAGCACCAAGATAGGAAAAGTTATGTGCAGTCGCATCTTGCCAAGGCACCATCAAAGCAATGCCAATGATGGCAAGAAATACCCAAATATAGTCAGTTTTTTGTTTAATCGAGAGCAGTGCCAAAGTCAGAGGCCCTAAAAATTCTAATCCAACAGCAATACCTTGAGGCAATTTGCCTAAAGAGGCATAGAACAGCACATTCATCAAACAGACTGAACCACTATAATAAAGTAGCTCATTCCATCTTAGGTAAGGTAAACGCTTGATAATTTTCCATGAACGGAACATTAAAATAATTAAAATAGACGCAAAACATAATCTTAAGGTCACGACGGTAATCGGATCTAAAACCTCAAATAATTGTTTCGCAAATGAGGCACTGATCTGATAAGCCACCATAGATAAAACCATGAAGAGCACAGCAGTGAGTTGAGAATTTGGCATATCTAAGGTGAGGAAAAATATTGCACAGATTTTAACACTTTCTCGGATTTATTTGAGTATTTCGCGAATAGATGAATATTGATTCAACATTTCCCTTTGAGATTCAGCCGAGTCCTCTGTAAGATGGGAATGATTATACTTGCAATGGCACATGTGTTAGGAATAAAAGATGTCAGGAAATACCAATAAAACTGAAAATTTAGGCTTAAATGCAACAGAGCAAGCAGAAGCTTGGTATATCGATGTACTTAAATTAGAACAACAAGGTCTTGCTCAAAATGAGCAAGACGCTCAAGCGCGTGTTGATTTGTTGGTTAATGCCTCTAATCAGAATTTTGCACCTGCAAGTACTTTGTTAGGACAGTGGCATGTTTTAGGCCGTTATGTAAATCAAAGTGTGCAGTCAGCTATTCTTTTTTTTCAACATGCAGCAAAGCTTAATCATGCACTGGCTCATTTAGAACTTGCTTATCTTGGCTTGAACAATGCAACCAATCAATTGACAAAAGCACAAGCCTTAATGCATTTGCAGCAGGCAGTGCAATTGAATCATCCAGAAGCAATTTTTGTTTATGCACAACAACAATTGTCACAGGATCCACAGTCAGCATACTTATTACTTTTAAACAATTATTTAAAAAATCAGCATCAAAACAGCCTGAAGTTTTTTGTAGAGTTTTCAGGGTTTGATTCGATCAAAGTACAAAATGAATTGTTAAAAATCGCTGAAAAAGACCATTTTTCCTGTGCTTTATTGGCGTTTAGTTATTTAAAACAGAACAATCTTGATGCTGCTTTAAAATATGCCGATATCGCGCAAGAACATAATGATCCATTTGGCTGCTATGTTCGCGCACTTATTGAACAACAAAGTGCTAAAGCGGATGCAGCAGTTGTGCAAGAGTTTTTACTTAAAGCTGCAAAAAATGGACATATCGAATCTGCTTATTTAGCTGCAGTGACACTGTTAAAAAATTCGGAAAATGCCAAAACTGAGCAAAAGCAGAAAGAATATGCAGCACTCGCTTTTGATCTATTATCGCATGCTGCTGTTTCAGGTAATGTTCCAGCTCAATACTCTTTAGCACAGTGTTTACGCTATGGTATGGGAACTGAGAAGAATCTTGATCAGGGTATTTCTTGGTTAGAACGTGCTGCAATGCAAAACCATCCAGATGCCCAGTTTGAATTGTCGATGTTACTGCCTTTAGAACATGAACATCACCTCCCATTATTAAATTCAGCTGCAGAGAAAGGCCATGTTCAGGCCATGCTGTGTATGTCAATTTTTGAGCAACGTCAAAACAATGCGAATGGGGCATTATTCTGGTTAAACAAAGCCAAAGAGTTGAAAGTTCCACGTGCCTTCTTCTTATTGGCACAAATGTATCAGGAAGGTAAGTGTGTAGAGGCTGATTTAACCCAAAGTGCAGATTTGTTTAAACAAGCTGCCGATCATGGTGATATCGACTCTTATTTTGAATTATTTAAAATTTATAAAGATGGGATCGGGGTGCGTAAAAATAAAAAAACTGCCAGCAAATATTTGGATTTAGCCAAAGAAAACCAGCATATTGAAGCAGCTTCAATTGAGTTTTAATCAAAGATCAGTCTATGTCTGAATTATCGCAACACAAGCTCGCGCATGTAGCGACCTATACCCATGAGACAGGTCGCTTGTTTGTGGTAGGTGATATACATGGTTGTTATGATCTGTTGATGCAACAGCTTGAACGTGTTCAATTTAACTTTGAAAAGGATCTATTGATTGCTGTAGGGGATCTTGTTGATCGTGGTCCTGACAGTTTGAAATGTTTGCATCTGCTTGCAGAGCCTTGGTTTAAAGCTGTTTTAGGCAATCATGAAGAAATGTGTTTATTGTCGCAGATCGATCCGATGATGAAAGATATGCATGCGCATCATGGTGGAAAATGGTTTTATGCATTAAGTCCAGATCAGCAGCAACAAGTCATCGATCAATTAAACACTTTACCCATACTGTTAGAAGTCATCTATCAAAATAAGAAGTATGGCTTTGTGCATGCCGATATAGATCTAAATGATTGGGATGCGTTTAAAGTTGCGACACGATCTAAAAGTCGCGAATTGGCATTATGGGGCAGAGGAAGAATTAAAAATAAACGCTTTATGCGTTATTCAACAGTTGTCGGTGTGGAGCAGGTTTTTCTAGGTCATACCGTGGTTGATTTTGTCACCAAGAAGCATAATTGCTATTTTCTAGATACGGGCGCTTGTTTTGGAAGTGAGTTAAGCCTTGTTGAAATAGATCATCACCGCCCGATAGAAAAACAAGTGTTTGTCCTGAAGTCATAATTTTGCTTATTATTGTTTAAATATTTTTAAGAGTTCAGGCTATTCATTGCAGTGAATTTTATATGGCTATTACTTAAATTTTATCTGTGTAGTGGAAAAAATAAGTCTTTAATTAAAAAATACATACATATAAAAGCATTAACTATTAAATACATAAGTATAAGATTTTGAATTGTAAAGAAAAAATATTTATTTCTAATCAAGGTCATTCTTTCATTTATCGATATTCAATCAAATTTTTTGCCATTACTTGATTCGATACAGTAAGCATCAACTCGGTTAGATTGAGCAAAATATTAAAATATTTTTAAAATAAAACAGCTATTATTAATAATTAATTCACAGTAATATAAGTTATCGTGATGGATATCGCGAATTAAATAACAATAAGGTGATCAGAATGATGAGATCGAAAAATTATATAAAATGGTTTCTTTTTGCATGGGTAAGCTTACTTTTGTTGGCTTGTAACTCTTCAACAAAATTTGAACAGGGTCTTACAGCCAAATTTGAATATAGTCCAACAGCGCCAAGTATCGGAGAAGTTGTAAAATTTGATGCAACCAAAAGTACGGTTGATCAAGCAAAAGAAGCCAGTGCAATTGCTAGCTATGCTTGGAACTTTGGAGATGGTTCAAGCGGAAAAGGCGCTACAGTTGAATATAGTTATACCAAAGTTGGTCAATATACCGTGAGCCTGACGATAACAGACCTAGCAGGTCGGACTGACTCAACTACACAGAAAATAGAAGTAAAGCAGGGAGCAACAACGATAAACCGAGAGGTTTTAGTTTCAGCTCAAACGGTTGATGGCGCTTCGATTCCAAATACAAATATTACAATACAGGGGCAAAGTGTTAAAACAGATCAAAATGGTCATGCGACTTTGAAGCTGATACTTCCTCAAAACACACAAAAAGTGGTGGCTAAATTTGAAAAACAAGGCTTTATCACGCAGTCAATTGTTTATGATGTTGCCAATTTAAAAGCAATCTCAGCAAATTTATTGGCCATTAAACAAATTGTTCCTGTGTCTGAGATCTCTGACGCTCAAGTGATTCAATCCTTAAATTTGGGTGCACGCATTAGCATCCCAGCCAATGCTTTTGTAAAAGCAGATGGCAGCCTAGCCACAGGCGCAGTGACTGTTGAATTTACTCCATGGGATATTACCAATCGTGATTTAAATGCAATGCCTGCCAATGGTGTAGCACGCGATGCGCAAGGCAACATCGTGGATCTGATCAGTGCTGGAATGATTACAGCCACATTTAAAGATGCAGGTGGTCAGAAATTACAACTTGCAGCTGGTAAAACAGCAGACCTTCAAATGAATCTGCCTATAAAGAGTATCAATAATCAACAGATGAAAGTAGGTACACAAATTCCAATGTGGTATTTTGACCAAGTGAGTGGCTTGTGGATTGAAGAGGGTGTCGGGCAGGTAATGCTGTCAAACCAATCACCTACAGGCCTTGCTGTACATGCAACAGTGAAGCATTTTTCAACATGGAATTGGGATTTTAAATTTGTAAATGCAGGTTCAGTCTTTGTGCAGTGTCAATCCAATGGTGAGGGGATTCCATGCAATGTGACTGCAAGAATCAGCTTAAATGACGGTTCATCCTTAACCAAATCCAACAGTATTCCTAAAGAAGGATTGACGGTGGTCAATATGCCTTCTAGTGGTTCAATTCATTGGACTGCAAAAGATCTAACAGACACAATGCTGGGTGAAAAAACATCGACAACCTCAGGTAATGTGATTATTGATCTTGGAAAATCAGCCACAGATCATTTTGTAAAATGTGCACTACCCAATGGGACGTTTGTGGCATGTTTTGGCAAAATAAATGACCAGTTGGATTTTTCAATATCGCAAGATGGCGGTCGTTTCCTCACAGGTATAAAAGACCCAGACGGGCAGTTGGATTGGTCTGCACAAACGGCTTTAATTTTTGAGAGTAATCAATGGGTGCGTTATAATGGCCAGCAAACTTCAGGTTTAACAGGTAATGTTAATATTATCTTGGCAGATCGTGAAGTTGTTTATGTCAGCAATCAAGGCTTGAGTTTCCCGATTGTCTGTAAGTTTGATTGAGGATCCTTTAAATGGGACCACTGAGCCCAATGGGAATTGGGAAGTTGTTCCTGAATTAATTGGAAAGTCATGCAATATAGAAATCACGGTATATAACATAGATGGTAGCAATGAGATCTTAACTTATAATGCAATCTATGGAAAACCGACGCAGATTCAATTACCAAGTAAATATTCAGGTTTTGATTCAGCTGGAAAAGGCCCTATTACTTATTTAAGTATTTATGCAAATATAGAAGACAGTAATGGTGACTTGGTTGAACGAATTGGTCTTGAACTAGAGCCAGATCCGAATAGCATGATAAAACTAATTATGGATGCACCTGATTGGTAGGTTTTAGATGAGTGAATTGAAACCACCTTTCGAGGTGGTTTTATCCTTTATGCCGTGCTTTTTGTGTGGTTACGGTGCAGCCAATTGATGCACTAATGATAGTGGCTAAGGCCAACCATTGGGTCCATAATAATTGTTCATTTAAGAAAATAAACCCTGAAAATGCGGCAATTGCAGGCTCAAGACTCATTAGTGTGCCAAAACTTAAAGCAGATAAATTTCTTAATGCAATCATTTCCAATGAAAACGGCAAGGCACTTGCCAAGATCGCCAACACAATAAAATAAATTAAATTTGAAGGTTCAAAAACCTGTAAAGGCATCCCAGAAAATAAGGCGATTGGCATTAAACACAACATGCCTACAAACATCCCCAAGCATACAGTATGGTTTCCAGAAACCCCTGAAGGTCGTTGACCTGCAATAATATACAGCGCCCAGCAAGCGCCAGCAGCTAAGGCAAAGGCAATGCCAATAGGATCGAGGCTTTGCTTTGCCTGATCAAATGGAAACAGTAAAACTAGTCCAAGTATCGCAAGTCCGACCCAAATAAAATCGAATTTTTGCCGTGCATGAAACAGGGCCACACTGAGCGGTCCAATAAATTCAAACGCTACGGCAATGCCGAGTGGAATACGATGAATTGATAAGTAAAATAAAGCATTCATTCCTGCAAGGGCAATACCATAACTGATGATGGATGACCATTTCACCTGTTTAAAATTGACCTGCCAAATTTTAAAAATCACGGCCAAAATCAATGAGCCGAGCAATAACCGCATAGCGGAAATGGTAAGGACTGGAAATTGATCAAATAATGTTTTTGCTAATGCGCCACTGCTTTGCATACTGATCATGGCAATGAACAGTAGAACTAAAGCTTGCAGGTGTGGTGCATTTTTTAAATTTGGCATTGTTTCTGTAATTTAAAGTAAGGGCTTGGAGGAAAATCTCCGCAACAGGCTTCTTATATAAAACAATTTAGATGAAATGCTCATGTAATTTGCAAAGCTTATTGCGCTTTAGATAGTACACTGTCTTTGTAGAGTAGGGTGAGAGAAGATGCCAAATAGTTTATTAAACAAATAATTTAACTTAAAAATATGCTATCGGAAAGAAGTGACAGATTTATAAATCCCATAAAAAAACCACAGGCAAATACCTGTGGTTTTTTTAGCTTAAATCGTCTTAGAACAATACGCGAACGCGGATTGTGCCTTCAACTTCATGAAGGGTATCAAGCGCTTCTTGAGATGCAGTTGCGTCTACATCCATCACCAAGTAACCGACATCACCTTTAGTCATTAATGACTGACCAGAAATGTTGATACCATGTTCAGCGAACAGATTGTTAATTTTAGATAACACGCCTGGCACGTTTTTATGGATGTGTAGTAAACGGTGTTTACCTTCAGTCAATGGAAGTGCGATTTCAGGGAAGTTTACTGCAGATAAAGTCATACCTTTATCTGAATAAGCAACAAATTTTTCAGCAACTTCTAGACCGATGTTAGCTTGCGCTTCCATGGTTGAACCACCAACGTGAGGTGTTAAAATCACATTGTCTAGACCACGAAGTGGAGAAACAAATTCTTCACCATTGGCTTTAGGTTCTTTCGGGAATACGTCAACAGCTGCACCAGCAATATGACCAGATTTAATCGCATCTGCCAAATCTTCAATAACAACACATGTACCACGTGCAGCATTGATGAAGATTGAACCTTCTTTCATTTTCGCAAATTGAGCTTTTGCAAAGAAGTTACGAGTTGAAGGAACATCGGGTACATGCAGTGTAACAACATCTGCATTTGCAAGTAGTTCATCTAAAGAACCCACTTGACGTGCATTACCCATAGGAAGCTTAGTCACAGCATCATAATAAATGACGTGCATACCCATGCTTTCAGCTAAAACTGAAAGTTGAGAACCAATAGAGCCATAACCCACGATACCTAAAGTTTTACCACGCGTTTCAAATGAACCTACCGCAGACTTGTTCCAACCACCGCGGTGAGTTGAAGCAGATTTAGCAGGCACACCACGAAGTAAAAGAATTGATTCTGCAAGAACCAATTCAGCAACTGAACGAGTATTTGAGTATGGTGCGTTAAATACAGGAATACCACGAATCATGGCTGCATTTAAATTCACTTGGTTTGTTCCGATACAGAAACAACCCACTGCGATCAATTTATTCGCAGCTGCAAAGACTTCTTCAGTTAATTGTGTACGGGAACGAATACCAATGAAGTGTGCATCTTTAACCGCTTCTTTCAACGCTTCACCCTCAAGCGCAGTTTTACGGTAATCGATATTGGTATATCCGGCAGCATTTAACGTGTCGATTGCGTTTTGATGAACGCCCTCTAACAACAAGAAACGAATTTTATCTTTAGGTAGTGAAAGATGTTGGCTCATTACGGCTCCGCTACAAAGGCCAAATTTAGTCGCAATATGATAACATAGACCTTGTTCTATAGATATTTCGATTGTGACAGTACAGTGGATATTTTATCTACGATTTCTGATAAGCATTATTCAAAAATTAAATGAAATGCTAATGCATTGATTTTTATAATGCTTGAAGCACACTTTATACACAAAGTGTGGATAATGTGAATCAAATCTGTGCTTTATCCTCAGCAGTCATCTAGGTAAAATACTGCTAAAATCAGTAGAGCTGCCGATTTCAGCTATAAAAAATGCTGAAAAATTTTCACAGACTGATTTAAAATCTCGAATGTTGTATAGCACAACCTCTTATTTACTTCTTGCTAGGTCCGCAAAACGATGAATGCTCCAGTAACGATAGCACCTGAATTATTGACCCAATTGACGCAAATCGTCGGTGAAAACCGGATTAAAACCGATGCTGACAGCTTAGAAAATTGGGGCAAAGACCATACTAAGCATTTTGATCCTCAGCCATCGGTCATCGTTTTTCCATCGAGCACAGAACAAGTGCAAGCAATTGTTCAATTGGCCAATCAGTTTAATGTTGCGATAACCCCATCGGGTGGTCGTACAGGTTTATCAGCAGGTGCTGTTGCTGCCAATGGTGAAATTGTCGTGAGCTTCGATAAAATGAACCAAATTTTAGAATTTTATCCAGCTGACCGTATGGTACGTATTCAAGCGGGTGTAGTGACTGAACAGTTGCAGAACTATGCAGAAGAACAAGGGATGTATTATCCGGTTGATTTTGCTTCTGCGGGTTCATCACAATTGGGTGGCAACATTGGAACCAATGCTGGCGGGATTAAAGTGATCAAATACGGGATGACTCGTAATTGGGTACTTGGTCTGACCGTGGTGACGGGTAAAGGTGATGTATTGCGTTTAAACAAAGGCATGATTAAAAATGCTACAGGTTATGCAATGCAACATTTATTCATTGGTGGTGAAGGGACTTTAGGCTTAGTGACTGAAGCTGAAATTAAACTTGAACGCCAACCGCATGATCTACAAGTGATGGTATTGGGTGTTCCTGATTTTGATGCAATCATGCCTGTATTACATGCATTCCAAAGCAAAATTGATTTAACTGCCTTTGAGTTCTTTGGTGAACTGGCAATGCAAAAAGTTTTGGATCGTGGTCATGTACAACGTCCATTTGAAACTGAATGCCCATTCTACGTTTTACTTGAGTTTGAAGCGCCGTACGAACCAATTATGGATGCTGCGATGGAAATCTTCGAGCATTGCATGGAACAAGGCTGGGTGCTTGATGGAGTGATGAGCCAAAATCTTGAACAAGTTCAAAGCTTATGGCGTTTACGTGAAGACATTTCTGAAACGATTGCGCCATTTACTCCGTATAAAAATGATATTTCAGTATTGATTACACATGTTCCTGCTTTTATTAAGGAAATTGATACTATTGTTGCTGAAAATTATCCTGATTTCGAAATCTGCTGGTTCGGCCATATTGGGGATGGAAACCTACACTTAAATATTTTAAAACCTGTAAATTTATCTAAAGATGAATTCTTTGCCAAATGTCAGGTGGTAAATAAGTATGTGTTTGAAACTGTGAAGAAATATGACGGTTCAATTTCTGCAGAGCATGGCGTAGGCATGACTAAAAAGCCTTATCTTGATTACACACGGACTGCTGAAGAAATTGAATATATGAAAGCCTTGAAGAAAGTGTTTGATCCAAATGGCATCATGAACCCAGGTAAGTTATTTGATCTGTAATGATTTAAATAGCTCATTTGTACAAGCGCTTCGAGAGAAGCGCTTTTTTATTGCCGAACAAAAGATAAAATAAAGTTACATGCTGGTCGCCATTTATTGCTGAAAATTTGTTATGTTGGTTGCGCTTAAATATTGATAAGAAACTGAAAACTATGCTCATTGATAACATTTTAATTTCTAAACAAAGTTTAGACAGTGATGATCACTATGATGTGATTATGTCCAATATTGATAGCTTAAATGGCTTATTTGAACATTATGTCGAATATGATGAAGTATCGGCAGAGGCTTTATACAGTTATTTTGTCGATTACTATCTTGCTCAAGTGAATAATGGTGGTTTTTCACAATTCGTTTATAACACGGGTTGGGATGCGTTCATGGTGAAACATGTTCGTGAAGGATTAAAAGCTATGAATGCGACTGGGCATTCGGCTCTCTTTGAGCAAGGTGCGGATTTAATTGATCAGTTTTCGGATGAGCAATTAGAACAGTTCTTAGAGGGTGAATACTTTGGTGAAAATGAGCAACGAGATATTCTCAATGCTTTTGATGACCAGTTTTATGCATTGAATGGTAGTGAAGATTTGATTGAAATAAATAGTCGATGGTTAAAGCAACATCCAAAGCTACAGGTTGTTGATGAAGATCAGATTTTGACGATTGTAGAGCAAGTTGCAGCCAAAATTCCAAATTTAGAACAGCGTAAGCAGCAGGCAGCTGAAAACAGCCCACGTTATTTTAAAATTATTCAAGCCTTATGCCAGCAAGCAGGTCAGGAGCTAGATCGTATAACCATTGGTGATCCATCACATGAGTATAATGGGAAAGAGATCGTTGCTTGGCATTTCCTAACCGATGCAGGGCATTTTTATATGCTGGATCTAGGTGATCAAGCCCTGATGTTCGATGAAAATGATCAACAAATCATAGCGCTCGATGTTAGCCATATTGCAGATGAGTCATAAAGACACAGTTTTTAAATAGTGTACGTATAAAAAGCATAGCATCATTAGGCTATGCTTTTAGTTTTAGGGTGATCAGAATGAATCGTTTGAGTTTAATTTCAGTATTTTGTTTAGTGGCTTTGTCTGGCTGTGCAACAACACAAAATTTAATGAATAAAGTAGGTGGTTCAGAGACACCATTAAGTCAGGTTTTAAATGAACGTCCTGATTTGCGTAAGGATCTCGCGACTGTTGAGTTGCGTCAGTATTTTAATAGTGTGGAATCACCTACTGTTGCAGAAGTGAAGTTGACTGAAACAGGTTTTATGGATGATTCGGTGCGCTCAATTCGTAGTGTGTATAGCTTTAAAAATATTGATGGTCAGTGGAAACGTATAGATATGCAGAAGGAATATCAGTGTTACCGTGGTAAAAATACCAAGACATTCCAAAAGGCAAAATGTCCTTGATGATTTTTTGATTTATGCTTGAAAAATAGATAGAAATACTTCATAAAAACGTATCAGACTTGGTACGTTTTTTATTTGGGAAATCACAATAAATGAATATTTTAATTGTGGGTAATGGTTTTGATCTTTCGTATTTTTGACTGATATAAGAAGTTGAATATAGTCAACCTGTCAAAAACTCATACACAAGAATATAACTTCTCTTGATTGATATTTCTAATTAAATCAATTGAATGGAAAAATAAATTGTTTAATTATAAAAAAGCTTGCAATGCCACACCTTACATTCAAAGTTTAAATACCATTGCGTAGGCGATGCCTCACTTTTCAGAGATGAAAAGATGACAAAAATCTTCATTTGGGCGAGGGGTACGTCCTGTACCCCCGCCCAACGGCGACATCCATGTCGCCACACGATAGAACAACCATCTATGATTCAAAAGTACAAAAAAATGAATTGATAACCAACAGTTTCTAAAAGTTCATAAAAAAATAAGCTTTATTTATGATCAATGGCTTGATGTAAATCACTTGTATGAGTAATTAGGTGGTTTGGCTATATATCCAATATAAAGCAAATTATGCTGGTCAGTATCATGATGAATTAAAGCGAATATTGATAAAGGTTTTGAATTAAAAACAAAGGGAAGAAAAGCTTGGATTCAAAGAAAATTTAAAAAGCACTGAAATTAATGATATAAAACTTATAGATTTACCCAAAATGTGAACACAATGAACATCCAACAAGAAATTCAAAACTTATTCCAAAACCGAGATGAACATCCACTGTTTTATATTGAAAGTGGTAGTCGTTTATGGGGCATGGCAAGTCCAGACAGTGATTACGATGTACGTGGTTTCCATCTACCTTCCAAAGCACAATATTATGATTATCGCCAACACCGTGATTTAATCGAGATCATGGATGGCGACTTCGACTTTGTTTCATTCGACTTAAATAAAATGTTTGGGCTTTTGGCAAAAAGTAATCCGACTGTTTTAGAGTGGGTACGTGCACATATTGTCTATTTAAATCAATTTCCTGAATGGGAAATTTTTAGAGATGGCTTACTTGAACGAATAGACTATAAAGCGCTGTATTATCATTACTTGTCGCTGGCGAAAGGCGGTATGCATGTCATGCAAACTGCAGATAACTTTACCTATAAAAAAGTGTTTTATTCTATTCGTGGTCTGATGTCAGCAGAGTTGGCAACACAGCAAATTATGCCTGAACTCCTGATTACGCAATTGTTTGATCAAATCGACGCCCATGATCCCTTACGGCATTGGGCAGAAGATTATTTAGAAATCAAAAAGCAGCAAAAAGAAAAAGCGCAATTACCTGTAGAGGAACAAGCGCAAATCTTAAAACTGTTAGAAAATAAAATTGAGGCTTTAAATCTAAGAGCGATTGAACCGACCAATGATATTGAAAAATTAAAGCAATACCTCACCGAATATAGCTTTAATTTAAAACAACATTTTTATGGCTAATGCTTTTACTCAATCAGAGAATAGTGACACTATGAAAACCCTTGCCTTTATTCATCGTAATGACACTCGCTTTGCGATAGGGGATTTTTATCCTGTACTTTCTGTATTTTCACACTATGAATTAGGCAATACCGTCTCTCCCTTTCTGTTACTGGATCATTTAGGACCTGGTGTTTTAAAACCGAGCAATTTACGCAAAGGGGTGAGTGAGCATCCTCATCGTGGTTTTGAAACGGTTACCCTGATTTTTGCTGGTGAATTAGAACATCGTGATTCATCGGGTGGTGGCGGTATTGTTTCAGCGGGTGATGTGCAATGGATGACCGCAGCTTCAGGTGTGGAACACAAAGAGGTATTTAGTGAGGCATTTTCAAAAACGGGTGGCTATTTTGAAATGGTGCAACTGTGGGTGAATTTACCTGCCAAAGATAAAATGAATCCACCACGTTACCAAAGTTTGCGAAAAGCCAATATTCCTGTGATTGAACTCCCAAATAGTGCTGGAACGGTACGGGTGATTGCTGGGAACTACCAAGGGCAACACGGGCCAGCAAAAACGCATTCACCACTTCAAGTTTTGGATATTGAAATCCAAGCAGGGCATAAGGTCAGATTGCCCGCAGGCGCAGGAGAAACTACACTGGTCTATTTACGAACGGGCAAGGCACAGTTTCAAGCTGAAGATGAGATATTTGAAGAGCAAGGGCTTGCTGTGATGTCGAGCTTGGAACAAGACTTTGAAATAACGGCATTACAACAGTGTAAATTGTTGCTGCTTACAGGCAAACCGCTTCAAGAACCGATCAATGGGCATGGGCCATTCGTCATGAACAACTACGCAGAAATTCTTGAAGCATATGACGATATTAAACGTGGCACATTTATCAAATCAACAGTGCACGATGATGAATAAAGCAAACTGTGAGAATTACAATTTGCTCTAATACCTAATTTATCGATTGAGGTTTGTTCTTGAGTGCAATCAAGCCTTTGATCAGCAATGCAATCCCGATACCAACACATAATCCCATTAAGAACTTGCCAAATATACCCAAGCCCAATTCTTTATGGTTGGCTGAGCTAATTGCTTTCGCCGTATCTTCAGCCGAGGCGGTCGCATTGGCTTGACTATCCATCAATGCCACAAAGCCTGTATCTGTTTTACAGCTTCCTATGATAGTGCTTGAGTTTTCAGCATATTTATTTTGAACCAATTGTTCACATCGCGCCTGATCTTCAGCGCTAATTTTAGGTGCAGAACTGATAAAATAAAGTCCTCCACCCACCAACAATAAAATCACGCCAATAATGATCAGCGATATTGGGTTTTTATTTTTCATTTAAATTATTTATATCCGCTTATACAGCATTTAGAGTAGCTTAAGAATAATAAATGTTCAACTTTCACTGGAAATTTGTCTGTGTTAGACTAGTAAAACTTAACCCTGTGTGTACCTCTATGAGCTTTCTCATAAATCGGGTCAAGTTATAAATCTCACAAATATAGTTTCAGCAATTACTTTACCTATTGAATTAGACACCTTGTGAATACGGTGTTGAACTGCCTTTATTCAACGTAAATTCCACAATTTAATATTTATATTTCAGTGCTTGTCATTGGGCGAACGCTTATCTTTAAAAAGTAGTGTGAGCAATGCAAGCCAATAAAGATATGTAGAAAATAATGCAAAATTTAGTGCAAAAAGAACAAACTGCAAGTTTGAGTCGCGCTACGCTTATGTTTCCATTGGCGTTGGTGTTATTTGAATTTTCAGTTTATATCGGTAATGATTTGGTTCAGCCTGCGATGCTCGCAATCACCAAAGAATTTGGTGTGAGCAGTGCATGGGCACCATCATCTATGTCATTTTATCTCCTCGGCGGGGCATGCGTCGCAGGGATACTTGGACCTTTGTCTGACCGATTAGGACGTAAGAAAGTGTTATTGTCAGGTGTTGCATTCTTTGTCATCATCTGTTTATTAATTTTACTCACCCACAATATTGAAAGTTTTCTTGTTTTAAGATTCTTGCAAGGTTTTGGTTTATCTGTGATCGCAGCAGTGGGTTATGCTGCGATTCAAGAAACCTTTGAAGAGCGTGATGCCATTAAAGTCATGGCACTGATGGCAAATATTTCTTTGCTTGCCCCTTTGATTGGCCCTGTTGTCGGCGCATTCCTGATTGATCATGTGTCATGGCACTGGGGATTTATTGCGATTGCCTTTTTAGCTTTTCTGAGTTGGTTTGGTCTAAAAGCCAAGATGCCAGCACGTACAAGCAGTATTCCCAAAAAACCGTTGAGTTATATTTGGGATGATTATATGCAAGTCTTGAAAAATAAGACGTTCATGGGCATGACCCTCGGCTTGCCAATGGTGGCGATGCCTTTGATGCTATGGATCGCATTGTCTCCAGTGATGTTGGTTGAGGAACTGGGACTCAGTAGTATGCAATATGGTCTGGCGCAATTCCCTGTATTGGGTGGGTTGATTCTAGGTAATATTGTGCTGATTAAAGTGATTGATCGTTTGCCACTGGGTAAAACAGTTTTGATTGGTTTACCTTTGATGCTTTTAGGTACAGCAATTGTGGTGGTTGGGATCATTTGGCGCGAATATTTTCTTCATTGCGTTATTTTAGGCATGACCTTAGTCAGCTTTGGTGAAGGAATTAGTTTTTCAGTGCTTTATCGTTTTGCGTTAATGTCATCTGAAGTCTCTAAAGGCACTGTCGCTGCTGCTGTTTCAGTGTTGATGATGTTCACTTTCTTCTTTGTGATTGAACTGATTCGAATTCTGTATGAGCATTTTCATCTCTGGGCTTATGCGTTGTCATGTTTTGCGTTAATTGCTTTGTGGTTCACTATTCCACGTGGATTATTAAAAACAATTATGCAGCAACGTAAAGTAAATGGTGAGTTTTAAGCTCACTTGAGTTTCCCTCTCCTTGTAAAAGGGGAGGGAGCTTTGCTTCTTAAATAAACAGGTTAAGGCTGTTGTAATGCTTTTAATTTATGATCAAAAACAAAAGGCCCAAAAGGTAAAATTGAAGCAATTAAACCTAAAATAAACATGTGAATGGACCACTTCTGTTTTCCACAGACAATCAATAACACTGCAAGAAAAGCAAGAAATAACACACCATGTCCCATGCCAATATATTTCACATAAATAGGCATATCCCAAATATATTTCAAAGGCATCGCAATAAAGAGAAGAAGGAGAAAGGAAATACCTTCAAGAAAACCAACAATACGTAAAGATTTGATATTCATGGTCACTTAGTCAAATGAGAATGAAGCTTGAGTCTAACCGAATTATCTAAACGATTTGAAAAAAATAGTAAATAAAATCGATTGATTTAAATAGATGAAAGATCGTTCTTGAGAATAAGTTTTTAGTCTCCAGACCAGATATAGCCCAATATTTAAGATCGATTATGGTAAAGCTTTGATTGCAGCGTCCTGCTGTTGCTGTTCAAATTCAGTGATATAAACACACCCGATATAGGTTTTGTGTTCACCTTCATCTACAACGGGATTCGATTCAGCCAAAGTCAGTTTACGCAAAGATTTTTCGGTTTCTTTGGTCTCAAGATCTGTTTTTACAACTTTCTCTCCTGAAAAATATGGCATATCTTTAAAGAACGGATTTTGCGTGATTTGAAACTTTTTAGCGAGGTCTTTGGTATCCGCATTTCTTAAAACAGCCAACATTCCACCAGAAACCAAACTAATTTGATCTGTAGATTGACCGAATACCGTAATGGGAACTTTACTGACATAGCTATATTCTTCACCTTGTTTGATCCAGCCATTCTTTTTCAGATCATCCTCAAATTCAAAACCTAAGGCATAATAATTTTTAAGTGTCTTTTTACACTCTAAAAATTGCTGTAAGTCTTGATTAAATTGAGAATCTGCAAAAGCATTGGGCGCAGCACCGATAGTCAATGCAGAGAATAAAAACGCTAGGCAATGTTTAAGTTTCATGTGAAGCCTCTAAATGTCTGGTCATTCTTGCTATTTAATTTCTAATCGAAGTAAGGTTGTTTTTAGTTTTAACAACTCAGGTAAGGTTTCCAATAATAAACTGATTTGTTTAAGCACCAAAAGTAAATTATCTGACAAATTTTCTTGATCACTGATGTGCTGAATTTCAGTGAGCTTTGTTTCAATTAAGGCTTCATTTACAGCGGTTTGGTTAAGCAAAACATCAGTTAAGGTATGTTTGCACCATAACATCAAATCTAAAATCTGCTGATCATGTACATGTTCACGATGGCTACCTAAAGCTGAAACATAACTGAGCTGGCTATGGCTATAGACCAAGTATCTAAAGGCATTGTGAATTAAATCCGGATTTGGATTGGGTTCAGCACTTAAGCTGGAAATCATCGTGGATAATTCAATCTGTGCATTATGTGCCGCTCGACGTGCTTTACGATAATCAATACTGTTGGTACGGCCTTGTTGATATTGTTCAACAACCGCATCGAAATAGTCTAAGGTTGCCTTACTGCTTTTACGGATATTGTTGGAAATATCACGGAAGTTCCAGTCTGGCCAAATAAAACTGACCGCAAACCATGCGATTAAACACCCCAAGAGGGTGTCGATAATGCGCGGTAAAATAATGGCATAGCCTGCGCCTTTTAAATTAAAGATCAACAAGACCATTAGCGTTGCCATTAAAGTCGCCATGGCATATTTCTTTGAGCGTAAGTAGAAAAAGTACACCCCAAAAATAATGGTAAGGAGTAATTGCCCTTCAATACTGGGGACAAAGTATAAAATCGGAATACCCAAAAGTACCCCTAATACAGTCCCTAGCGTGCGCAGTTTTAAACGACTTTTGGTGGCAAAATAACTAATTTGGCATACAAATAAACTGGTGAGTAAAATCCAATAGCCGTTTTTGGCAAAGGGTAGTAGCGAAATGGCATAGCCCACAGCAAACACAAACGCGATACGCACGGCATGGCGAAATAATGCAGAATTTGGGGTTAAATGTTGTTTAATCTTGAGCCAAAGGTCTGGTAGATCATGGATATCATCATCCAATAAATTGAGGTTATCTCGATGTTGGCTATAACTTTGTTGATAATTACGTTGTTCAATACTCAGGTTAACAAATTGATCTTGCACATTTTTCAGATTGTTTAATACCAACAGTAAGTTTTTTACTTCTAAATTATGTGGGTTGTGTTGAATCCATTCCTGCATTGAGTTTTCTAAATGGGCTAAAGCAATATTGTTGTCTGTATGTGTTTGAAAGATTTGTCGCTTTAAAATTGCCTCGGCAAGTTGCTGACAATTACGCGCCTGCAAACGTACATTTTTCTGAATGCGATATATTAAATCTGTGCGGCTAAAGTTCTGGTGAATCTTTTCATAGTGCAAATAATTGGAGGTAACTTGTTCATGAATATCTTGGGCCAGAAAATATAAATTAAGCCAGTAAATGGTGTTTTTATTGGCACGAGAGGCTTTTAATCGGGTCAGTAATGAGGCTTTGGTTTGGTTTAAGTTTTGTACCAACTGACTGTTTTGCAAAGAAAGATCGTATAAAAGTTGCTCAACATTGTCGACATTATCAGGATCAAACAGTTTTGCTTTTGACATCAACAGCTCGGAAAGAAGATTGAAGCTATTGGATAAGTTGTCTTGTACAGCCTGTGTCGGTTTCAGTAGATAGAAAATGATAGAGGTCAAGCCATACCATAATGTGCCCATGACAAAATAACTGGGCTGTTGATACCACTCAGTATATTCACCCAAGCCAAACATGGTATAGATTGACAAGAGCACGGTACCAAATGAAATGGTGGCGTAGCGCTGCCCCAATGCACCCATTAAGATAAAAGCTGCGCTGGACAGAGATAAGTAAATTAAAAATAAAAGTTTATAGGGATGTAAAAAATCTAAAATGCTACTGACTGTAAAAAACAGCACACAAACCAAGCCAAGATTTCTTAAACGAATACTCAGTCGGTCATCAAAATCTGTGAGTGCTGTTGCAATTGCACCAAGCGTAATTGGAACAATGAGCTGTTCATAACCTAGAAAATACAGCCCAAGCGTTGTCCCAGTTAAAACAATCAAAATCTGTAGGCAATAAATCAAAGTTGAATTTGATTTTATATTTTGAAAGATTTGCTGATAACTATTCACAGTGTCAATTCAGTGGTTTGGGCGTTTCAATATTTTACTCGTTTCTGAAAAGGCGACACGATTTATTGCATGTAGAAATGTAAAAAATAAACGGTAATATTCAACATTTTGTATACAGTTTAACCCTTACTTAAATGCTTAAAAAAACTCAGAATAAGCGATCAAATACTTAAAAATAGCAAAAATGTCAAACCAGCAAAACACTGAAATAAAACAACTTCGTTATCGCAATACTGAACTAACAGAACGTCGTAATTTAAAAATGGCAGGTTCAATCCATGCCTATGTACGTGGCAATACGGCCAAATATTATGATTGGTTGAAGCAAGCTGAAATAAGTTCGATCCCACAGGGGCCTGCGATTTGGATTTGTGGTGATTGCCATACTGGGAATTTGGGCCCTGTTGCCAATGCTGAGGGTAAAATTGATATTGAAATTCGTGACCTAGATCAAACTGTGATTGGTAATCCTGCCAATGATGTTATCCGTTTAGGATTATCCTTAGCCACAGCTGTGCGTAGTTCAGATTTACCCGGTGTGGTCACCGCGCAGATGATTGAAGCGTTGTATGCAGGTTATGTGAATGCCCTAGCACATAATGGTCGAGGGATTGATAAATTACAGCGACCAGTACTTGTGCATAGTGCGATGCAAAAAGCACTTAAGCGAACCTGGAAAAATTTAGCAAGAGAGCGTTTAGAAGGTTTAACGCCAGAAATAACCTTGGGGAAGAAATTTTGGCCCTTATTGAAAAAAGAACATCTCGAAATTCATCGTGTTTTTAATCAGCCCGATATTCAAGACTTGGTCACAATGATTGGTCAGCGTGATCAATCAGCTCAGTTGAAAGTCATCGATTCAGCATATTGGGTTAAAGGGTGCAGTTCTTTAGGCTTATTGCGCTATATCGTACTGATGGATTCATCGAATCATATTGTCAGAGATGGGAAAGGCCTATGTTTAATGGATCTGAAAGAAGCCACAACAGCACTTGCACCACGCTATTCAAATACACCGATGCCAAAAGACAATGCAGCAAGAATTGTTGAAGGTGCAAGACACTTATCACCCTTTTTAGGGGAGCGGATGCGAGCAAGCAAGTTTTTAGATACTTCGGTTTTTATTCGAGAGTTATTACCACAAGATTTAAAACTCGAAATAGAAGGGGTCAATGAAGTTGAAGCCAAAGATTTAGCTTTCTATTTGGCTTTTGTCATTGGTCGTGCACATGCTCGACAGATGGATGATTCAGTACGTAATGCTTGGGTGAAAGAGCTAAAACGCAATCAATCAAAAACTATTGATGCGCCATTTTGGCTATGGCGTAGTATTGTTGAATTGATGAGTGTACATGAGGCAGGTTATTTGGAACATTGCCGTCGTTATGCGCTTTCGCATCTGAAATAAAGACAATGTGGATAAGCGCATACTTATCCACAATTTGGGTCTGTTGACAATTCGTCTATGTTTACGGCTATAAACCATTTATGAAAGGCCTACAGCCCCTAATGATTTAAATTATTGAATCACACCACAGGCAATACGATCCCCACCGCCACCCAGTGGTTTTGGATGATCTGAATAATTATCGCCACCCGCATGAATCATAATAGCTAAGCCTTGAATATCGGCCAGTTTTAGACGTGGTGCAATTAAGGTTGTTTTGGCATTACCATTTGAATCTACATTGAGTACAGGTAAATCGCCCATATGTCCATCATTGGGGGTGCCATGTCCAGTTTTTTGCGGATTGAAATGACCACCCGCAGCTAAAGCCGCGCCCATTTTTCCGTCTTTTTCAGCAGGTGCACATGAGCCTTTTTCATGAATATGGAAACCATGATAACCAGAAGGTAATTGGCTAAGTTGGGTGTTGATGGTTAAACCATTTGGAGAATCTTGCAAGCTTACTGTACCAATTTTTGCACCAATGCCTTGTGCAGAGACCGCATGCATATCCACTGTTTGTAGTGGTGTTTTAAGCTTAGGTTTGACCGTTGTTGTACTACATGCCGCTGTAAAAAGTGCGATACATGTACAAAGTATAGAAGTTTTAAAGAAAGTAGATGTCATCGAACGCATCCAAAGTATTTGATTATGATTAGTCACTATTCAAACAAAGCATGGCCTGATAAACAATGTGAATTAAATGTCTGATTGTATGAATTTATTTAACAGTAAATTTGATTGGCATTGATTATGCTGACTAAAAATAAATAAACAAAATAATCAGCAAAATAATTACGCAGAATATCTGCGATATATAAGATCGCTATACAAGGTATATTCGCCAATTAAAGCTTATTGGCGAATATACGGTCGACACATCTTGAAATTTTAATTGTCACTTGCCTGTATTTGGCTAAGGTTTTGTAGGCTGATCATCATCAATGTCATAGGCCATCGTGGCATCTGGCATTAGGATTTCTGGCTCAGTGGTTTCATGTAACCACTCACGCCAAATGGCCAAGAGAATTGCAAGAATGACAGGGCCAATAAACAGTCCAACCAGTCCAAAGCTTGCTAATCCACCAAGTACACCAAACATGATCAACAAGAACGGAATCTTGGTTGCACCTGAAATAACCAAAGGTCGAATCACATTATCAGCAGTACTGACAATACAAACACCCCAAGCCATTACACCGATTGCTTCCATGGTTTGACCTTGTGAAAACAGCCATAATGAAACTGCACCATAAGCAACTGGAGGGCCAAATGGAATCAGTGCCATCAAGAAAGTCACAATGGTGAGTACCATTGGATTTGGAACACCCGCAACAAAATAACTCACACCCGCAAGAAATGCTTGAGCAACTGCAGTTAAACCAACACCATAAACCACTGCACGAGTCGTTTCAGAAATGGTGTCAAGATAATGGTGAATACGTGGGCCAATTAACATTTGTAAGGCTTTACTGACTTGTTCCAAAATGGTTTGACCATCTCGATAGAAGAAGAATAAAGACATGATTGCAAAACCTAGCTTAACCAGATTTTTGGTAATTTCGTTCAGGACGAATTTACCATAGTTCATATGGCCTTGAATCCACAGACCAATGGTTTGCGAAAGGCTGGTAGGATCGGCATTAATTTCACGTACGGTACGGCTGACTTCTTTGCCAATGATGGGGAGTTCACGGATAAAGTCTGGAACAGTCAAATGACCTGAAGATAATTGGCGTTGTAGGTCGAAATAAAGATTTCGTCCTTCATGTTGTAAAATAAAAATAGCAAAAGTCAGTGGAATTCCAACCACCAAAACCACCAGTGTAATCATGAGTGATGCACTGAGGGTTGGTCGATTCGAACCAAACATTCTTAAGATGCGTTTGTACATTGGCCAAGTCATATAGGCGATAATACATGCCCATAACACAGGTACAATGAAGTATTTGAGAATATCGTAACCCAAAAAAATAAGGATGAACAATAATCCAAACAATAAGATACGTTGTAAGTTCGAAGTGAATTCTTGCACTAATTACTCTAAAAATTGTGAGTGATTGACTCAATATTAACTGAAAAATAAAGTGTGGCAAATTTTAAGCACAATTTATTTGATCTTTATTGAATTGGTTTTAGAACCAATCGCTTGGATCGTCTATTAAAGCATCAAGTAAGGGTTGCCATTGTTCTTGAATGGTTAAAAAGTTCTTTTGGGTTTTATCAAAAACATTTAGACCTTGCATCGCCAATTGGCTATAGGCAGTACGTTCAGATATCCATGCAACAGGTTTTTGTTCGATTTTATCAAAGAATTGCTGAATATCTTTCGAGCTTGAGCTGTTGGCTTTCATTCGATTGGCAACCAGATATACAGAAACTTTACCTTTACGAATTTTTTTAATGTCTTGGATGTGTTTAAGGAAACGTCGGGTACTGTCGATATCAAAAAAAGAGGGTTGTAACGGAGTGACTACAGCATGGCACTCACTAATCAGTTGTTCAGCATGTTCACCAGTTAAAGCACCTGGTGCATCAATCACTAAATAATCTAAGTTTTTAGGTGCATCTCCAATTGATTTTTCATGACGCCAATCCAGACTTTGAATTGTTGCTGCAGTGTCAGGACGTTGCTTTAACCATTGCAGTGCAGATTTTTGTCCATCTGCATCAGCCAAGGCCACTTTATAGCCTTTTTGTGCAAGCGCCGTTGCTAATGTTATTGCCGTAATCGTTTTCCCACAACCGCCTTTCAAATTTGCAACAAGTATTGTTTTCATGATTGATCAATTAAGTCTGTAAGCTAACCTTCACCTTACTTTAGCATTAATTTTTAGCATATAGGTTATACATGACAAAACTTTAGTAGTTGTTTACATTGTGCAAGATATCGAGTTAAAGGAAAAAGCATGTCCATATGGATGGCGATGTTAATTGGTGCATGTATTGGCATCGTTTTAACCACAATCGTGTTATCAAGTACGCGTAATGGCAAAATCAAAGCAGAGTATGAGCAGTATATTGCTGAGTTGGAATTAGAGCATCAGCAGGCTTTAGCAAGCGCACAAAAGCGTAGTGTAAATACCAGTCGTGCTGTGCTGAAAGGCAAAATGGCGGAACAACTTGCACCAATCATGCCTGAGTTTCGTTATTTACCCAGTGATGCCAAGTTTTTAGGTGATCCTATTGATTATGTCGTGTTTGATGGCTATACCGATTTTCGAGATGGTGAAGGTTTGGCTGAAGATATTGAAGTGGTGTTGATTGATATTAAGAGTGGTGGGGCACGTTTGACCAAAGGGCAACAAGCGATTGCCCAAGCAATTCAAGACGGACGAGTCCGCTTTGAAACGATTCGGATTGATTTTGAAGATTAGAAGGTTGAAGTGTTGTTGCATCGGGTGTGTAGATTTTTAGCCTAAATCAAAAACCAAGGTCCTTTTCGACTTTGCTTTAGATCAAGTGAAAAGGACACTGTTTTTAAATTGTGGGTGAAAGGCGAAACGATCTTGTTTTTAACAAGGATTGAGTGAGGTTAAAATTTCTCTATCAAATTTTCTATTAAATTTATCTATTCAATGGCGCAAGCTTAGAGCTTGTGTGCTCTGGCCATAAACATACGCCGTCCAATTTTTGGCAGATCCTCAGCATCAAAATAATATTTTTCAGAAAACTTAAAATTGGCGTTTAAAAGTTCAAGTTCGATATTACGGTTTAAGTGACATCCATCAGCAATAACTTTTTGTATAGGTGTTAAAAGATCTTGCAGTTTTTTTAAGGTGTTATTGTCATGATATTGAACGTGTTCAATTAGATGCAGTGTCCCTTGAGGTTTTAAAACGCGATAAATTTCTTGAATGGCTTTGTCTAAATTGGCAATGCTACACATGGTCCATGTACTGACGATATTTTCGACTGAATGATCTGCAAAAGGCAGCTTTTCTGCGCTGGCTTGAATGTGTTGTACATGAAAAGGTGCATCAAATACCCGTTTTTGAGCAAGTTGATAGACATCTCGGTTTGGCTCAAGCGCATAAACTTGATCAACCTCTTGGTAAAATGGCAGGTTTAAACCTGTGCCAAAACCAATTTCTAAGACTTCACCTCGAACTTTTCCAAGTAATTCTGCACGTCCATCCATCATGCTTGGTGTTTGCATCACCTGATTAAGCAAATGCGGGAAAATACGTTGTTGGTAAAATTTATAAATCATCATTGTATGCAATTATATGGATATAAGCTAAATTCTAACCAAAGCCTGCTTTGAATATAAGACAAAAATAGGACGAAATCTCTGTATTTTGTTACCGAAACTCGATTTTTATTTTAAGTTTTTATATTAATACTAGGATTATAGATTTTGTACAATTTTTAAGTGTGGTTTGAGGAGCATGATATGAGTAAAAAGTTAGTCTGTGCAGCGTTGATGGCACTGAGTGCTTTTCAGGTCTATGCTTTTCAATCCACTGATTCTTCTAAAGTTTCAAAAGCCAATCCAGCATTTAATATTGCCAATGGTTTAGCACCAATCGACCAACATCAGAAAATTTCTGTTTTGGAACCCTTTCATGGGGAGTTTCGGATCCTCGGTTCAAAAGAATATAAGGATGATGAGCAAGCAAAATTTTCTCCAATTGATTATGCGGTAACTCGCGGTTTATTTACTGAGCCTGAAATTGCCCGCCAGATTTCGATCAATCAATATGATCGTTTCTTAAATTGGAAAATGGCTCGACCACCAATTCCTGCTCAATTGGCAACTCAATTGGTCAGTAATATGCATATTATTCCCGCTAATCCTGAAATTGCTCAACAAATCAAACAGGTAAAGCGTGGCGATTTAGTTCGTTTAACTGGTGATTTGGTTCAAGTGAATGATAAAGATTTGGTGTGGAAATCTGCTTTGGATTGGAATGGTGTTGGTGATGGGGCGTGTAAACTGATTCGAGTGAATTCTATTCAGTGGTTGGAAAAGCAAAATATCTAAATTCAAATTGAGCCACATCAGAGAAGATGATAAGGTTTGCTATAATTTTAGCCAGTTTGAATCATAAAGAGTGTGATAAATGAAAGGTTTAGTGGGTTTTACTTTGTTGGTTTGCAGTTTGGGCTTAGTTGCTTGTCAAAGTTCAAGTCCTACAGTGGAAGGTAAAACACATGAGTATACACTGAAACAAAAGTGCCCAACTTTGATGGATATGAAAGTAGGTGAAGTGCTTGTATTCAATGCACCCGAAAATCCAAGCACAGGGTATCAATGGCAGTTATTACAACCACTTAAAATATTTAAAACAGAAGAAACCTATTTGCAAAATGATAATGAAGAGGGAGCCGTGGGT